TGCATTCTTTCTAACATCAGACGATTTTATTCGCCAAGGGAAGAGCATGCACTGGCGTTCAATGGGTTAATCAGACCATCTGCCCATATGTGTCTAGTTAACCCATTAAGCTGTCCCAATGTGCCCTATACTTTATTATTTTACTCTGTCTAATATCAACCAACTAAAGCTTGTTCATTTTAGAACGAACGCGTGCTCCAGCCCGATTTCCGGTTCTTGAAGGCCCGATTCGCATGCAAACAGTGCGCGCAAAGCAGGCTGGTCATTTCCCATTGTTTAACTGCCCCACACTCACCCCAGACTCAAGTAACCACAAAGACGAGTCAAAAACGCATGCAGCAACAGTCTTTTTAAATATCAAAAAATCTTTTCAAAAGTCTTTTCAAAAAGTCATTTCAAAAATCGTAAGATGAAAATCAATGCCCAGCATAATGCAAGTATTTAAATAAACCATCACAAAATAAAATTTTAAAATATTTACTGAGAATGAACTCGTCTCGTCCATGGCTCTTTCATACATTATTCTGCGCATTGATTTTAATCCTACAATTACGTATTTACGATTCACGCGCTATCAGAAATTCATGGATACCAGAATGCTTAACGCGATCTTTTTATGTCAAGTCAGCATTTTTTTTTCACTTAAAACCTATAAATTCATTGATCAATGAATTAAGAAGAAAAACTCGTTGTTGCTAATTTAGAAGTTGCCGGCCGTGCTATTTTAAACCCTGAGACTTATGGAGTAAGCTTCTCTGGCTAATGGAACGAACGTACCTCGGACATAGTAAAATATGGTTTATCTGGCCGTTCCTCTCCTAAACATTTTGTCAAATAATCTTTAACTTTATTAATATCTTGAGCTATCGTCTCCTACAAAAAAAACGAGCAAGTTGGTACAGATGTATAAACAGGTTGGTTGCAACCGAGATAGAGTCTGTGACGTAGTTGACTAGTTGTCAAGCCGACATCAGGATGTGTTCGCAGTAGTTGTTTCCAGTAGTTGTTGTGACAAGTCTGAAACAAGTTGTTATCACCTTGTTACAAGGTTGATGACGGTGATAGGCTTGCTACAAGTTGTTCCAACAATTGTTCCAACAATTAACACAGGCTGTTCGTAACAAGTTGCTACCAAGCTTGTTGTCATCAATTTGTTAACAACTTGTTACGTGCTAACGACATTAGACTTCTTGAAACAACTTGTTGGCAGGGTTTCGTTACTAGTAACGTTCATTAGAAAAGTGATGGGGAGGACTTTTTATTAACTTGTACGACTATTTTTTTAAAAAATTTTGCTTGCGTCGATAATTTTTTTAAATATTATCGCTTGCACGAATTTTTTTTTTCAACTTATAATTTTCCCTACTGAAAAGTCTTTGCACGAATTTTTTCTTCAAACTTTTTTGGTGCACGAATCTTTTTTCTTTCTGTTTCCCCTGCGCGATTTTTATTTTTGCTCCCCCCCCCCCATCCATTTTCTAACGGTCCGCCCCTTAGCCTCGTCAACCTTGTGACAACATGATAACAACTTGTTCCAGACTTGTCAACAACTAGGAATAAACAATGCGAATACATCTTGTTGACAAACTGTAAAGATTTTTACGTGTGCACGTTAAAGTATACGCAAATTAACGCACGTTGATCGCACCGTATGGTCACAGAATAGATACTAGACCAGAAGGGTCACTCCTATGTGTTTTGGCTGGGGAAAAACGTCCGAAATTTTTACGTGCCATGACGCCATCCTGGAGTGCACACGGCACTTTGTACCTATGTTTGTACCCACGAAAAACTTCCGTGTGCACTCCAGGATGGCGTCATATGATGGGCGTATTTTCACGTCAGCACGTAAAAATTTCGGACGAAATATTGTCTGAGTGACCTTTCTGGTCTAGTATCTATTCTGTGGTATGGTTGATCGCAACGGATAATTGCGACTTCTTTGCGCAGTTTTCAAATTGCTCCTATGTAGTGCACACATAGCCTAATTCCTGACCTTTTGTTCCTCCAAGAGAAATCTCTGAAATTGCTCCACATGTATTTGATTTCTAGAAAAATAGAATAATTATATATGTATATAGAAAGTGTCAAGCAAAGCCAGAGCAACAGTAAATATAAACTGAAATTGACCTAGTCTGTTCATAAATACATATGGACAACAAAACGTTGAGATAAGTATTTCATCATACCTTGGATTTCTAAAGCTGAAAAAATTTCCAGCAATCTAAGCAAAATAGAATTAAAGATACATACTAGTAAAACATTTTATCTATTTACTGATCTATTTACAGTATTATATATATTGTTCACTAGAACAGTCTGTGACTCTGTGCCAGTGTAAGTAGTACCAATGATAACAAAACTTCAGTTGATTGGGATGCAAATACCAAACAATACGGGGAGATACGCGAAGGCCCTTCGTCTAGAATTAGTAAATCAACTGAAGTTTTGATAATATTCTCTAATGCATCCACCATCCTTGAAATTCTGCTTAAGGAATTTACACCATAGGAGAGAGAGGCCATACTACTAACTAATGATTAATTTATCAATTAGCTAATTAACTAGGTAATTCGAAGTATACAACTCTCATAATTATTTGTTGCAGTTAGAACAATATTACATTAATTAGAAGAATATTTACCTCGTGTTGGTTCATAAGAAGATCATAAAGATAACGAAAACCATCAAAGTTTATATGGCCATTTCTTTTTGAATCAACTTCCTAAAGAAATAGACAATTTGCTGTGTTAATTAAAGTGCCATTAACCCCAAATATTTTTTTTTTCTAGGTGTAGTATTTGGCTCACTCTAAAAAGAAATGTAATCACCTTGATCAACTTTTCACTGCAGAAGTTGCTAGGTATGATTTCATTAGAGGAATTGCAAATTAGCTTTCCTTTTTTGCTCCAAAAATTTATCTAATGAATTATGACTTACTGTATATATCATCATATATAGCATTAAAAAAAGTTTCTGATTTACTACATGCATAAATACCTGAAATAACTCTCTGACACGAGAGTTGTTTATTTTGATGTTTGCTTTCTGAAGAAACTGTTTCACTTCCTTCATTGTTATCCTTTAATTAAATATATTTTACACATTACAAAATTCTTAACACTACAAAATTCTTAACATTACAAAATTCTTAACATTATCTGAGGAAATATTGACAAAAATTGAAAAATATTGTCTTTACTCTTTTCTATTTCCTGGTGCTAAGGCATTCCATTCCTTTAATATCCATCTACAGAACATATTAAAATTGAGACATTATTAATTACTTGATGAGTACAATTGTCTGGCATTAGACAGAGTAGCATAATGGCTGTGGCGTGGGTGCGGCCTAATCTATTAAGTTTGATTTGATCGGTAACATACTATCTTATTATGTCTAATGCCAGACAATTTTACTTGTCAACGGGAGAGCATTGGAGCTCAATGGTAAAGCCAGTTAACGAGGAGTTGCCACTATAACTGAATCAATGAAAATTTTGGTGATGAAAGTTGATGGAAATTTTTGGGGGGCAGAGAGGGGCCATGAGAAGGCTACAGATTCCCAAGTAGCATACCCATTCCTTCATACAATGATGAGGTTATGACATATTTAAAAGACAGCAGAGACATCAACAATGGGGCTCGTGGGGGACCTAATTCCCCCACATACTTTTGAGTTCACATGATAGGTGGGGGCAACCTGCACTCCACCCTCCCTTCTTGCTGAGAACTTATACACAAGTTCATAATTGCCAACTCTGATTGGTAAAGCAAGCTCCCCACTTTCTGTAATGAATTAGGGACACTTGTATAAACATTGTTCTTTAGGCTGTCTGCAAGGTATTTTTCTTTGCTTTCTTTTTTGCACAATTTTCTAATAGTCTTGCTGCCCCTATAAGTGCAGAATATTGCAAATTCACTGTTCACAACAAACAAGTTGTTTGTGATTTATTTAAGCCACCGCTTATTTTCACATGTATAAATGGCGGTATTGTTGCTTATCAAATATATAATAAAGGTCTTAAAAATCCAAGAGTACAGACCTGTAAATTAAACTTGGTTGAGCAACATATGGATTCTCATACATCAAATAAATTAAACCTTTGACCCAGTATTCTCTCTCTTTATTGTTTTGTGCTACACAACACAAAATGGTTAGGAATGAGAATTCTATGAAATATGTGTACAATTGCTACTGAGCGTTCTAAAAATTCATCCAAATGGGGTATATAATATTTTAGAATTGGTATGTTACTGGACAATTTCATTTCTGTTATGATTTATGTATTCATTAGTATAAAAACATTACAGTAAAAAGTTACAAAAACATTAAAAAGTTACAAAAACATTAAAAAGTTACAAAAACATTAAAAAGTTACTAAAAGTTAAAAAGACGTTAGGCAATCACAGTACCGGTACTTTAGTACTTAAGCGGCTCTATAGGGTTCATCGATGTAAATCTTGATGATGGAGGCTCAGCCCAAAAGCTTGATTTTATAACTTTTAGTAACTTGTTAATGTTTTTATACCATTGAATTATACTATAATTATAAACATATGTATATGCCAATCTAATGCTTTTCTGAGGACAGAACGGAATTCAGTTTAAGCTCGAGTGGTTTTGATTAAAATAAACTGTCTGATGCTTAGCCAGCTTAGGCAGCTTAGTAAAAATTGATTGCTAAAAAAACGGTTTCAACTGAAAAACCTGGTAAACTGCTCAAGCTTAATTCAAATTGTACAGTCTGTACAAATGATGGTAATTTGTTTTAAATTTATATATACACTATATATGAACAAATAGTTTTGGCAATTGTCTTGCTTTCAACATTTCAATGGTTAAGTTAAGTGATACTGTACACATGCTAAAGGCGAGTCGTGTTTACATTTGAAGCACCTTGACAACACTAATTTCCTAGTTCCTTGACAACATGCCTTATATGAAATCTGAAAACTTATATTTGTCAAAATTTTTGTTCAAATGTTTAATTGTTGCCAAAATTTGTTCACTACAAATGGCAAAGTGTAAATTTTCCATATACTGTAATTCATTTAAATAGACTTATTAGATATCATTCCTCAAAATTAAACTATTAATCCCACCCAGGGTGTTTATTTGATCACTGAGTCTAGTTACCTACCCACACAACTCAAAGTCTTTAGCTTGAATTCCATGCCATAAAATATAACTAAACAACTATTTGGGTCAAGCTTTTTCGAGTAATCAGGACTCCGGTCGAAATCCTTGCTGCTTATACCACGTCGGACTTCTTTTATTTCCCTAATGTCAACTAGAATAAGACAAAGTGGATTGTTAAGTGGTTATGGGCTGTTTATATGTTGGGATGGCCCAACTACAAATGCAGATGTATATTACTTATTTGGCATACTATAATTGTACATGTTTATTTTCCATTTTTTACAAATAACCAATCAAATTTGAAGTTTGAGATTCTGAATCTAAATTTAACCTAATCACATATATGGAAGTGAGATTCATAATCGATTCAACCAGAGGGCTGAAGTTCTTCAATCTTTGCATTTCTTTTGCCTCATTGTCCTTTAAGGCTGGTTCAAAGATTCTGTGATCATAGTAAAGATTTTGCATAGGTAAGTTCGAAGTTTTGAAGGATTTGTAAGAAATGGGAAATGACTCATGTGTGAACATTGACTCATTTCCCTCAAACATTTCTTACAAATCCTTCAAGAACTTAGAGTTTGGCCAGCCCTCCTGGTTAAGATCTTGCAAATGGACCTACCAAGATCTCCTCTAGATGGGATGAAATTTATAACTATACATGAACACGGAAAGTAGCAAGGGCAGACCTTCCTGTTTAGCTCTGTAATAATTTAATGCTAGAGTGGAGCGAGCCTGTTTGCGAGTGCTTGCTGAAACCACCCCTATTACATAAAGAAAGTAAACTAATACAAAAACTATTAAAGATGTTTATTTTAATAAATGTTATTGAAATATGTTAATAAAGTTGTAACGTATAGTTAATTTGGATGTTGCTTTCATATATGAACTCGATACAACGGAATTAACACAAAACGTATTTATGAAATATGTTAATAAATTGTAATATGCTCCAGTTAATTAGGATGTTATAATATACTCAAACTTACCCGTGCCTTCCTCTTTGCCTGCGTTTCGCCACCATGCAATTTGAAATTCGTCCAACTTCAGCAGAAATATTCTCGTCTCAGGTCGTCGATTTGAATAAAACCTTGTCATCGTTGTACCCTCTTTCAAAGCTGTAACTATAGTGCCCATTTCGGCAAACTCTGGCTCAACGTTGGCCATTGTGAACATTCAAATTTCCTCGATTCTGTGCCGGGAAAAGACCGTCCAAAAACAACTGTAAAAGCCTTTAATCGGCTGCTATTTCACCCGAAACCTCTCATGGAAAACTCGTTGGCTTCAACAGTTGAAATCGTAACTTTTTTTATGCATAATGATCTGAAATCACGCTTACTTGGAAATTTTGAGAGTCCGGAAGAGTTGCCCCAGTCAGCTGACCGGAAAACAGGCAAACAGGAACAATTCTTATTGTCAAATTTTATATAATATGTCAAAGAAACGATTATATGAATATTTTAAAATGATATTGTAACCGGTATATAAATGTTTTCGCAGTTAATCTTTGTACAGCTTGAATAATCGCGATTTGAAGGCTTTTGTGGATATCTTATGGACTTTTTTGAAATGGAAAAATGTAATTTCCTCTAACCTTACAAAATTAATTGGTTCTTTATATATTGCGCCCCCACATTTTCGCCTACTAGTTTCCCCACTAGTTTCCCCCGCACGAATCACCATAAACAAAGCCAAAAGCGGAATTAGAGATGTCTGTCTTTACATACGTTTTAGGCAAATTATTTTGTATTTCACTGTATTTACATGTAATACATTTACTTGACAGGTTTTTTTTAAATCTATGATTGACGAAGTTCAGAATATCAATGTTTAATTCATTAATTACTTATTTTACTCTATCTATTTGAACGCCAATGTAATGCAAAATAATTTGTAACACTTACTAGAAAAATGTTACAATTAGAACTTCTAATTTCTACGCAAAAATTAATTAGAACGTTGTCGGCGAAAGTTTTCAGTACAAAATCCGGTATTTGGCTCAAACGAAAATGAACCGTTTTGAACCCAATTTTTTTCTGTGATTAAAGACAAATGCCTTTAAAAAGCGGGACTGAACTATTTCAGCCCAAGCAGACGGGCGAAAAGATTCGTGCAAGTTGAAAATTAGAGCATTCCTTTCCACCATTATAGTTTAATCTGTGATCCGTATTTACACTTACCGGTTTTCGGTATATATAATTTTGATCGAGATTTTTGGCCATCTCGTCTGGATAGAACAAATAGTAGATGGTTTTTTGTTGATGGAATTTTCGAACGCAAGTTTATTTTTTAACCTATTTCAGGTGCGGAAAATGCAACTATTGGCCTCTCGGTCAAAACCATAGAGATACCAGTATCTATGGTCAAAACGCTCAAGGTGAAGAAAAGTAAAACAATCCTTAAAACATAGAGATCAGTGCTGGATTAGGGGAGAAAAGCCTGGGTACGAGGTTGGAGAAAATTTTGCCTTACCCTCTCCTCCCTAATAATAGTATTTGGTTCGTGATAATTAGTCCTTGGGGTGTATATATTTACTGTAAATTACTTTCTTTTGCGAATATTCCACAATTCTATGGTATATATACGATTATAACCCTGGCAATTGCTATGAACTATAGAACAATGTTCGAGTTATCTTTAGAGAAAGAGTTTTTGTGGAGACGGAAGATCATAGAATGATTTGACAAGTTGACAACAAAATTTGTGAAAGCATAAAAATCACAATTAATTTGTGAGGAAGTGAATTTGTCACCAATTATACGAGGCTGGAGAATTTGCTTTATATACGGTGTAATTTACTGGGCTTTTGAAAGGAAATCTTGTTTGAATATTAGTCAAGATGCAGCGAAAAGAACCGCAAGGATCAGGCATAGTTAAATTGGCTGTAAAGCCACCAGAAGCCTCTCAAATGACGCCTTCGTTTCTACATTTTGACCAGGTATGGTTTGTTATTGATCTTGGTTTTACCGCATAATTATTTTTACTTTTTCGTATCCCTATCGCTGTATTTGGCTTGTTTTTAATTTGTATCATTCGCTTGCATAGACTCGAAAGCTTCAAGATATCATCGACGAATTATGCAAAGGGTAGGTCACAACTTAGTGAATCAATATTTCTGTATAATATAAATGTATACCTAATAATCTAATATCACAATTACGCGAGAGTTTATAATGGTTTGTGACAATTTTTTTCTTGTAAAAAAAGCCTCTTGAAATTTTGTGTTTGTTAAAACTGGCCTAGTTTGCCTAAAATTTACTTTTGTAAACATTGATTGCCAGTTTGCCACTTCAGTGCTTTCATTCCTGTATATGATAAATTGTTACATTGTCAAATTCCAAGGTAAATATGAAGTGTTCTAATTTCTTTAATTGCAACATTAGGAAGCCATTTTGAATTTTTGTTTCCATTTAATAAGCTTTGTTACTGATTTGATTCAGTAATAAGCTACCACTGTAGAATCCTCTTGAGGGCTTAGTGCTCCACTCAGAGGGGGTGGGGTGGGTAACATACTGTTATTAACATGCAAAGGCCCATTGTTTTACACCATGCTTACACTTATGCTGGATAGATCTCCAGTGACAGAAATTTGCTGGGGTGGGAGATACCCAAGACGACCCTACCCCTACAAATCTCCAGATGTCTGTGCAGAAAATGCAAATCAGTCTTTTCTGATTGTAGAAATATATTAACACTTTATTATATTAGCCACCTTGTTGATATGGCTGCCCACACCAATACAACTTTATTTTGACATAGGTGGAAAATTCCTAATCCAGAACAACATGCCTTGCAATATGCTGATAGTAATACTTTTATCAATGAACAGGTATGACTTCTAGCATTTTTAATAATGAACTAGACTATTACAATTCCCCGCTTTCTTCATTGCCATTGTTAACTATGCCTGACTTATTTTGATCATTTAGAATCGACATGAACTTAGCAATGGTGCTGTTTTAGCGCTTGGAATCTCGCCTGTAAGTAATTAGTCCTAATAACAGAAACCATTGGACGCTAGCCTAAAAATATAAGTAGAGGATTCTGTAGTTTCAAGAGAAAGCCCTTTGTCAGGGGTAAACAAACAATAATCTTCTCTCAAAACAATAGTGATCAAATTTGGAGGTCATTCATAATTATCAACTTTTGACAAGCATACAGAGTATTGGATTGATACGGATGTAATTAGGCGTAAAAAAATACCTGTGGTTCCGGTTCCCGACCGACCCTATTTTTTTCTGCCGACCCTATTATTTTTTCGACACGATTGACCGTGCGACCCTATTTTCTCCAGGTGGTTGCGGGCTGCTCATACAACGTGCAAAAATGGTGTCTGTTGTCACACTAATTATTTGAACCAAATTGCCTAAATTCGTCCATAGGAAATACACATCTCTAGCTAATATTGATGTCGGGACTCTACTGCAAAAAAACGCCAAAACCATGAAAAAAATATTCAAAAAAAAATTTATTTCCGACCTACCGACCCTAATTTTTCACGATATGAAACCGGAACCACAGGGTTTTTTTTTACGCCTTACCAGGAAAATACAAGAAGAACTTCAAGGAGTACTATTTCTTCACTCCCCCCCCCCCCACTCCCTTCCAATCTTAGAGGGTATGGTTGGTCTATAGTTCAAAAGTGTAAAAAAGCATATAGATGGGTGATCTTTTTCAGAGTGACAATTGTCAATGACAATATTTCCGTCGATCGACAATATGATTTTAACCCATTAAATGTCAATGTACCCCAGTGCACTCAACTTCATTATTTTACTTGTCAGAGTCTTATGCAATGATGGTTAACCAAACTATCTGCCAATCTCTCTTGTTAACCCATTAGGCTACAATACACCCTGATACACATTAATGGATTATTTACCTGTGGTTTGAAATGATATATTTTAGGAAATGTTAGCACGAACACTTTATGAAGACATAAAATCTGGTGACAATGAAAGCAGCAAGCATGCCTTAGCAAAACTGGCCACGGCTTCAGAGGTGTGAATACAAATTTAGGCAGTTTAGTAAACATATCAAGTGATCAAACTTAAATGACTGTGTTGTTATTTTGTCAAAGGATCCATCATTTGCATCGGAATTCATCAATCTGGATGGCCTTCGAACATTACTTTACATGGTGGAAGGAGGCATAGAGTAAGCACTGTTTTACAGCTCATGCAGAAGTTCGTGTATCGTAAATCTTCTATTGAGCTATCCCCCCACCCACTCATATATGGCCCCCTCTCCAGTAAGTCCCCTTTTTTTGTGAGAGGAAGAAATTTATGAAGTCCCCCATCCAAAATTTGCCTTGCAAGTTGTGTCAGAAATTGCCTTGTGTAACATGTCAACAAAAACAATAGAGGCTCAGATTTGACTTCCACTACCTCTCACAGGTTTAATTACGCATTTGATTGGTTAATCGGATAGAATAAATGCATTTGATTGGTTAATGGTAACGGTAGCGGAGGTCGGAATCTGAACCTCTCTAATCACTCCTAGTTCTCTGTGAATCTCCAAACCCTCCCCCTTCCAATGTGCCTGAATTAAATTACTTTATTATATAAACATAAGTGTTATATAGAGTTTTTGGCCACTGAGAAAAATCGTATTTAAACACACGTAAAAAATACGATATTTTTACGTGTGAAAATATCATTTGTTGTAAAACGCATTGCCACGGACGTTTTA